GTGGGTAGGAAGCAAGGGGCACCAGTGGGGGTGGGGGACTGCAGGTTGGGAGTGAGGAGCACTGGTGGAGCTGGGGGGCTGTGGGATGGGAGTGAGGGACACCAGTGGGGCTGCCCAGGAGAGCTCTCACCCTGCCGTGCCCTGCAGTTCGCCGTTCTGCTGACCCTGATTTTCCTGGTGGAGATCGCGGCAGCCATTGCCGGCTATGTCTTCAAGGACAAGGTGAGAGTCTCCCTGCTGGTCCCAGGGGCCTGGGGAGTCCGGGGGTTCTGAGTGGACATGTGGGGCAGGAGCCCTGCAGGGGTCCAGGTCGTGGGTGGGCAGTGCCCACCCAGGGGCATCGCCTGCTGCTGCTTCCTGACCCCCTCCCCTCCCCCAGGTGCGCAAGACACTGGAGGATGAACTGTGGAGGGAGATGCGCAACTACACCAACGACAAGCTGGTGAAGGAGGCCGTGGACGAGCTGCAGAAGCAGGTGAGGAGCGGGCAGCCGCGGGGAGGGCGGGATTGTTGCCCTCTGCTCCCAGCCCCCTCTCCCTACCCTGGGCTGGAACCCAGGACTCCAGGCCTGGTTGACCCCAGCTCTGTGCTCCTTGCAGTACATGTGCTGCGGGGCCAACAACTACACGGACTGGGAGACCATCCCCGGGTTCAAGGAGAACCAGACCGTCCCGCTGTCCTGCTGCCGGACCAACGCCACAGCCAAGTGCAATGGGCGCCCAACCCCTGACACCATCTACACCGAGGTGAGTGCCATGGTGTGGGGGCAGCCCTGCCGAGGGCTGGAGACACCCTGGTGTGGGCCGGTGGTCGGGGGTCAGAGCCCAGCCCAGGGGTCCCAACTGGGTCCATGAGCGCTGTGCCGCACCCCCCACCAGGGCTGTCTCAAGACCATGGAGGCCTGGATGAAAAAGCACATTGTGGTGGTGGCAGCTGTGGCACTGGGCATCGCCTTCTTCGAGGTAACGAGGGGGGATGGAGGCTATTGGGGAAGGGGTAGAGGGGGGCACTGGGGCACCCCTGATAGCCCTTGTCTCCATTGCAGATCCTGGGCATCGCTTTCGCCTGCTGCCTCATGAAGGGCATCCGCAGCGGCTACGAGGTCATGTAGCCGCCTCATCCCCGACCTCTGACCCCGCAAGGCTCCTGACCCCCTGCATGGGGGGCCATGGGGTCTCCTCACTCTGCCTCTCCCCTGCCAGGCCCCAGGGGTCCTGCCCTTCCCCGCCCCCCTTGCCAAACGCCCCCCTGTGGTGGGGGGCATTGCCACAGTTTTTAAGATAGGGAAATGCCACCTTGTTTTGAAAATAAAGAGGCTTCCCCTGGAGCAGCCCCTGTGTCCGCAGTCCATCCGTCCATCCACCTAGGGGGCCTGGTGCCAGTGGGGAGTGGCCTCCAGGGCTCCCCTGTGCCCCCCCCCCCCTGTTTGGGCAGCCCCCACCCCATGCCGGCCCCTGCGCCTGGGCTCATCCCTGGGCAGTGCCCACCAGCCCCCCTCGCTGCCTGCAGCAGGGTAGAACCCAGGTGTCCAGGCTCCCCGCTTCCCTCCCCCCAATTCGAGCCCATTCAACTGCTCCCTGCCCAGTGCCAGGAGAGAACCCAAGTGTCCTGCCCCCCCCGGGCCAGGTTGAGGGCACTGGTGTGGCGCCGGGAGCGAAGCCAGGCCTGGTGGGCGGGGGGGAGCTGGTTTATTGGGGGGTGGCAGGTGCCCTGCGGATGCTCCCGGCTGGCTTAGGCAGCACGGCAGCCAGCACGGCATCCACCACGCAGGCGGGCAGGTAGGAGGCAGGCAGCCACAGCAGCTTGGCATCCCAGCCGGGGCTGTAGCGGGTGCGTGGGTACTGGGCCGTCAGCGCGTGCTCCAGGCAGCCGGTCACCTTGGCCAGGTCGGGATCGCACAGCCACGCCATGATGCGCCGCTGCACCTGCAGGTCTGGGGGTGCAAAGGGAAACTGAGGCATGGGGCCCTGCTGCACCCCCCCCCCCCGTGCCTGGGCGGGAGTCCAGGCGGGCTGTGGGCCGCACTCACACTGGCGGAAGAAGTCATCCCCATAGCTGCGTCGTGTCTCAGGGTCCAGCTGCAGCCAGCACCGGCCCAGTGCCGCCTCGATACTGCCCAGGTCGGTGGCCGCTGTGCGGAAGAAGCCGGGCTCCACGATGCAGACCCGCACACCAAATGGGGCCATGTCACGCCTGTGAGCATGGTGGGGGGAATAGGGGGCAAGTGAGCCATACTGCTATGCCCAGGGGCCCCGATCTTAGGTGGGGAGGGAGGGGTGGGCACCTGAGGCTGTCGGAGAAGGCCTCAACAGCATACTTGGAGGGGCAGTAGCCGCCCCCTGCGGCTGCCAGGCGCCCAAGGACGCTGGAGATGTTGACCACGCGTCCCTGCGCCTGCTTCAGCAGGGGCAGCAGCCCCAGTGTCAGCTCCGCTGGCCCCAGTGCATTGATGGCCACCACGTGCCGCAGGTCCTCGGCCTGCAGCCACTCGGTGGGGCCCATGGGGTTGGCCACCCCCGCATTGTTCACCAGCCCGAAGAGGCCTGGGGGTGGGGTTAGGGTTAGGATTAGGGCTAGGACCCAGGGTGGTACCCCCTGCAGCAGTACCCCCTGCAAACGTGTGCCCAGCCTGGCTCACCTTGGTTGCCCACCTCGTCTTGCACCCAGGCCAGTGTGCTGGCGATGCTCTCAGAGCTGGTGAGGTCCAGCAGGCTGGTGCGCAGGCGGGGGGAGCAGGCAGCACGCAGGGCCTCACGCGCCCCAGCCGCTGCGCCAGCCGGCACCCAAAGCCCGAGTCGCAGCCCGTGACCAGCACGTGCCGGCCCATCAGGCCGGGCAGGCGCCGCCGGTCCCGCAGCAGCCAGGCGACCGCCCACAGCAGCATGCACAGTACTGCGTAGGCCCACATGGCACAGGGGGGCTGTGGGGAGGCAGGCCTGCCTGAGCCGGGCAGGGGATCCAAGTGTCCTGGATCCCAGTCCCCACCCCCGTCCCGGGCCCAGGTAGAAGGGGGATTAGCTGGGGTCAGCAGACAGAGCTGGCTGGAGGCCTGGCCCCTCCAACACCCCCAGTCCCGTGGGCCCTTTTTAGGGGCCTCTGTGCCCAAGGGGGTGCAGAGCTGTGCCCCCAACCCTTTGGTTTTGGGCTGTGCCCACGGCTGTGGCCCTTGGCTTGGTGTTTGTGGGGAGGGGGTGCAGAGGGAGCTGCTGAGAGCCCCCCAACCCCACTCGGGGAGCCAGCAGCTTCCCTGAGCCCTGCCTGGTGGGAAGTCTCCCCTCCCCAGGGCACCCAAGAGGCTCCTCTGATCGGAAGGGGGAAATGGTGTGTGGCTGTACCCACAGCTCAGGTGGGGAAAGTGAGGCACGGCCCTGGGAAGGCTTAGCCAGAGAAGCCAGGACAGAGCTGGAATCCAGGTGTCCTGGTACCCTGAGCCCCTCCCCAGCCCCTGGGGACCCCTGGACAGGACGAGGTGGGAGGCAATGAGGGGTCTCCCATAACACCCCCGCTCCCTGCCCATGCCCCACGCACCTTCCCACAGAGCCGGAGCTGGCCTGGGCTGCAGCTGCTCCCTGCTGCTGCCTGTGTCGTGCACTGAGCAAAGTCCAGGAGGCCCCGTCCACCCCCGTGGCACCGCCTCGCCCGGGCACAGGGATACCCTCCCCCTTCCCAAGGGCCAGGCGCTGCGCGGGACCCCCACCCCCAGCACCAGCTTGGTCGGATCAGCACAGCTTAGCCCAGAAAGCTCCTTTGTGCCAGTGGGAGACGGCGCCGCAGCCCCAAAACAGGATGAAGGAGATCAGCTCCCCTCACCCACCACCCTGGTGGAGACGGCTCCCAGCCCCCTCGTGCCTCAGTTTCCCCAGTCACACGTGGCTCTGGCGGGTGTGTTGAGGCCAATCTGTTTTATTCCTTTGCACGGGCCCTGCAGTGACCGCCCCCAGGCAGAGGCCAGGCCAGGGGGTCCCAGGGCCAGCTCAGGAGGCCGAAGGCTGCAGCTGCCCCTTGTAGACGTACTCCAGGGCAGTGGCAATGGTCCGCATGTCCATCTCAATGCTGCGCGCCCAGTTCTCCACGTCCCCGATCTCCTGTGGGAGACAGCGATGTCAGGGCCCTGCCCTGGGCTGCCTTCAGCCTGGGGGGACTCCCACCCCCTCCCCATGGCCCATAGGTCCCTGCAAGCATTGGGAGCCGGCCCGGGGGGCCTTGAGGACCAGACCCCCTTCCCAGGAGGAGGGGGCAGGTGAGGGACCTGGAGCATTTCCCCTGAGGCCAGCAGGAGGTGCCCCCAGCCCGGGTGTGCAGCAACTCGGGGGGAGGGGTCAGGATCCCTCAGCCCTGCCGGTGCCCCTCACTCCAGACTCATAGCCCCCTGCCCCCCCAGCCCTGCCAGTGCCCCTCATTCCTGACCTGCAGCCCCAACCCTCAGCTCTGCCAGTGCCTCTCACACCCAACCCGCAGCCCCCTGTCCTGCAAACACAGAGCGCACTTATGCAGCCCCTTGCACATGGGGATGGGGGTGAGGGGGGCCTCTGGGCCCCCAGGTTTGGCAGGGCCAGGGAGATTCCTAGGGCTGAGCTCAGCCTGCTTCTGTCCAACCATCCCGTGCGGGCACTGGGGCCAGGAACTGTGCTGGGAAGTGCCTTGGACCCCCACCAGTAGACAGTGCTGGCCCCACAGTGTGCCTCATGCCAGGCTTGGGAGGACCACTGCAGCCAGGCACCCATGGCTGCCCCTGACCTTGAGGGCCTGGTTGAAGTTCTCCACCATGCTGATCCACTGGCCTGTCTGCTTGGCGAACTGGGCAGCCTGGAACTGTAGCGTCTTCACCTCGTGGTCCAGCTTCCTCTGGTTCACGTAGGCCTGGGCCACCCTGTGGTGGGGGCATGGGGCCGCTCAGCAGGGCCGGGAGTGCCCAGAGCCCTGTGCTGGGCCCCGGGACGCTCCCACACCTCCGGGGCCCGTGGGCAGCAGGCAGGGCAGGAGACCCAGGTTTGGCCCTGGCACGTTGCAGGCCCGCAGCTAGGCTGGGTGCCTGGCGGGTCTGTGCTCTGCCCCCGCCCCAGGATGTCGGTGAGCTGAGACCTGCCGTGCTCGTGACACGCTTGGCCCTGGTGCTTACCCCACGTTCAGGTGGTCGACCAGGGCCTCAGTCAGGCAGGTGGCGGCTGCGATGGCCTCCCTCCGGCGCCGCTCTGCAAGGGAAGGCAGCTCAGCACGGGTGGGGGGCGGGCTTGGGCACAGGACGCCTGGGTTCCCTTCCTGGCACCACCTGGGACTGAGGCATGGCTGCTGCAGCTAGCAGCTTCCCGCATCCCAGGATGATGTCACAGGGAGGGCCATGAGGTCATCCTGCATCTGCATGAGGTCACTGGGCAACACCCTGAAGACCTCCCTGCCCCTGGGGCTTCCCCAGGGAAGCCTGTCACACGCCCCCGCTGATTGACAGCCCCCGGAGCCAATAAGAAGCAGCTGTGCCCAGCAGGGCGGGAGGAGGGTTGCTGGGCAGGGAGTTGCCATCGGCATCACTGCTGATTGACAGCTCCCGGACCCAATAAGAAGCAGCTGTGCCTAGAAGGGACAGGGGGTTTCGGGGAGGGGGACCCCGGCTCGCCCCCGCGCACCTTGCAGCTCCCTGCGCTCGCTCTGCTTGGCCTGGTGCTCCTTCAGCAGCCGGGACAGCATGGCTGCGGCTGCTGCTGCTG